TGAGTGCTTCACTGTAAGTTTATTTGAATAAATGATTTTCTATTTATTCTATTCTATTCTATGAGTAAGGCAGATTCGGACAATTTATTTTTACTATAAAAAATAACAAAATATTTTGACGAGTCTTTTAGCCCCAAAAGACTCGCGAGTGATCGAGGGTTAATATCAACAAGGACAAAGAAAACCGATATATGAAATTGTCATGAAAACTTATATTAAAAAAAAGTCAGTTCATTGGTTTCAAATAAATATTACACAAAGAAATAAACAGTGTTCAAATTTTTATTGATGTTTACAATGTATTAAAATTCACAATAAAGTTGTAAAAATCCAAATTTGAGATTTCCTTTTCCATAATTTTATTAAAATGAAACAAAATTATATAGCCAACACTTCCTGTCACAGAAAAAAACTTTTACTTTCATTTATTACATACAATGTCATATTTATTTTTATCGGATATTGCTTTTATTTATTACACTATTTAATACTAACAAATTTCGGGTCATATCTGAATTATAATAATTGTTTTTGTTTATGAAACACTATGGTACTAGTGTATAAATAAATACACTTGTATTGAAAATTTTAATGCAGATCAGCATATATAGCCTTTGGAATAAAAATATATAGTGACTGAAGTGTTGTTAAAATAACATACTTACGATAGCTTTATTATATACTGTTTTAAATTTGACACGGTTATTATTTATACGTACAATTAGGAAAAATCAAGGGATCCTTATCACGTTTTATTTATTTTTATTTCAGTTCAACCGCCATGATCACGGGTAAACTATAACTGAATACCGGTATATTTACCTGATCATGGGGTTCATGGGGATCATGGGGGTGGGGAAACACTGCCCAAATATCGGGGCCACAATAAAAGTAAATAAAACGTGGTATGATCTCGTGATTTTTCCTAATTGTATATATAAATAGCATTATTTTTCCAATTAATAATAATTTTAATATATTTATTTAGCTCACAATTTAACATAGTAAAGGCATCAATATTGTAGAATAACTACTTATCACATAATATTTAAGTATCTAAATATATAATTATCACTAACATTTTTAATACACTGTTATTTAAACATAAATAGTATGACATCACTTGTAAAGCTACAATAAAAAAAACAAATAACATTAAAACATGTTTTAGGCAATTATTGCGGAACAAATTGTTAGGCTTGCTATAGCTTGGACCACAAAGTAGCGGATGGCATCCAAAGCTCATAAGAAAGAAAATGATCCGGGCGGAGGCGCCCGGCGCTTAGGGTGCCCATCCAGAGCTCTAGATGTATACCATCAGGTATATCATCAGGCTTTTAGCCGGTAGGTATCCGGTAATACACACAACAACCTATTTGCCCCTATGGCGAAGGGTCTCCATGACACATTTACCTGATGTAAAAAAAGTCCCGTATAGCTTAACATATAAGGTCCTTGACAATTGTCTAAATATTTTTTTGTTATTTGTTTCTATGTATACGATGCTTTTTACGCACAGCAAGTTTTAATTGTAAAATAGTAATTCGTGTTTATATTAATTATATAAAGTGCCATTCACACGGATTAAGAAAAATCGTGATTATATTTTTATGAGCTCGCCCGACGCTGTTACAAGTTTTTTTTCAGACTACTCGAATGCTGTTAGACGCAGCTGGCCTTTACAGCTTCACTGGACGATAGAGGGTGAGTGCAGATAGCACTCCAAACCCGACGACGGACGTATGAAGTGACTGAATGTCAAATCCCGCCTGACGGATACGACTTTAGCCTAAGGGCACCGCTAGGTTCGAACCGCCGAGGTTCGAACCTAGCGGTCAGGGTCAGCGGTCGTCGTAATTTCGATCCCCGTCTGAATTGGACGGAGAATCGATTGAATCGTTTGTTACAAGCGTCCTAGGCAAGTGACGTATTTAGGAATATTTACTTTTATAAATGAATAATTAAATTTTATGCCTATTTTTATTACAAGAATGAATAATAATATTACGTCCCTGAAAAATATTAGGAGGTCGTAGATCCGGAGTCGTGTGAATAGCGCTTATACAATCTATTAAAAATACCGCATACAAGGTAACTAGGCGCATTTACAAATACATTTTAGACTAATATTGTTGAAGTCTAATAACATTATTTATATTTGTCTTATATATTCATAAGATCCATTTAAATAGCTGCATGTGTTTTGTAACTCCATTAAAAATTAAGGTAACAACTTGTGAAAAAAGACAAAGGAGTTCAGTATTTGATTTAGCTATTAAAAAAGTTGTACTATGGATTTTTATGAATTATAACATATAAATTATCATAGCGCTGTTGTTAACCTCGTCTGAACAAAATACCACCAATAAGGTGACGTCAAATTAGTATTTAAACTTATCCCTAATTTAACATTCAATATCTTTAATCCATAGACCATTATACTCTATGAAAAAAAACAAATAATTTGTGACCTCATTAAAACAAGTATTTCTACTATTGTTCGATTTTTAAATTACTTTAAATCAAAATTAGTTTAACATCAAACGAAAATAGACTTTATGACTATAATCGAATAAATAATTACATTATTTATTTAATTACTGTGAATGTAAGATCCATTTTCATTTGAATGTTATGTCCCGTTAGAAAATATTATAAAGGATTTGGAAACATATTATTTTAACATGCTTATTAAAAAGAGATAGCGTGAACATCCTGTAGTCCATTTTGTTTTAAATCTAATAAAAGTGAAAATAAGAGTAATAGAAAGAGATGCTAATGAAGATGTCAGGTTGTTTTCTAGGTAAAACGTCACATCTGTATGAAAGAGGAATTAGTATATGTATAGCTTGCTCGGAATATAAAAGAATCTATTAAGTCAAATTTATGAGCATTAATTCTGCGTTCACATTACAAACTCCTTTTGATTTAAGTTTTATAATTGTTGTACATGTTACTGTAAAAGCCCGTATATTGGTATATATTATAAATAAATAAATAACCTTGGACAATTAACACATCACCATCTAGTCCCAAGGTAAGCAGAGATTGCGTTATGGGTACTAGACAACTGAATCGAACCCGCGGCCATCGGATGTAAAGCGGTGTGCTAAACCGCTAGACCGCCGAGGCCGTCGAATCTTAGGTTTTGATAATAAAACTTAGGATTTATACGTCAATTTGTAAAAAACATTTTGGGCCATAACCATAACCTACGATGCAGAGTTAACGTTTGCAATTAACGATTATCACAGAGTTCATACTTTTACTGTTAAGTATTAATAATCTTAGGATTTACAGAATTCGGAGTTTTACAGTAATATATATTGTATATATTAAATATTATTATTAAGATATTTACTTTTCTAATTACTGTTAACATTGTGCACTTATACTTTACGTACAAATAAGTACTTGGTTAAACATATTTAGCAAGGAAATTCATATTATATACGAAAACTCTAACCATTGCCAAATATATATATCACAAAATAATATACCGCTAAGAGGTAAATTGGGGTTATTTATGCATTAAAAGATTACAATATTAAGTAACAACCTTCAAGTCAAATTAGTAAGTAAACATTTTATAATAAGTACAGACAAAACCAGTTACAGATAAATTATTAACTAAACTCCGGCCGCTCGGAGATAGCGTTTCTGACAGATCGGGTTCGAGTGGACGATGTAACTTTGAACTGACGTACAATTTACGGCAAAATTTTAAATATCATTTACTTGCCCTATTAATGAGTGTTAAAATTAAAAATTTATATTTATTTTTGGGATTACAGAAAAAGAAGAGTTTAATATTTACAGAATTTAAGATTTAGAAAAGAATAGTTTTTATAAGCCAAATAACATACTGAGCTGTTTCAAGGTTATTTGATCACTTCACTTCAAAAACAAACAGTTGACATAACTTTGAAACGATTGTATTTATTTTGTTTAGTAGTTAAAAATATTAATCCAAAATTAATACGTTTATTGTAAGTTGGAATAATTATTAAAATTTTAATGTTATCATTCGTTAACAAGGCAAAGTAAAATATATTTAAAATTTTACCGTATTTTGTGCGTCAGTTCAAAGTTACATTACCCATTCGATCCCAACCTGTTAGAAACGCAATCATTGAGCGGCCCGACTGTACAGGGTTAGTTTTTTTTTATACTATATAGATGGCAAACAAGCATACGGGCCACCTGATGGTAAACGGTTACCGTAGCCTATGGACACGTGAAACACTAAGGGTGTCACGCGCCTTTTGCGCATAAGTAAATAGTTTTCCCCCGACTGAACACCTGTTACTACCTGCCATCAATTCACCACACGCGTTGTACAATAGGCGATCTTACAATGTATACAAATAATATATATTTTAACTTGCATGCACAACATTGCATTATAAATAATAATACATAATTATTATTACAAATAAAAATAATTCCAATTTTGAATTATTATTCTCTAAAGTTAATTTATTTTAATTTAGAGATGCTCGTAATTTTGTAGTAAATTTACAATTTAAAATAAATATAAAAATTTTGTGAAAAATATTAAAGACAATATTGTAGTAAAGTAAATTTTAAAATGCCATTCTCTTTTAAACAATTATATATGTTATTTTAATAGCATGGATGCTCTTAAGATAATATGATAATAAATTAAAATTATATCGAATACGATTCAATTTTTCAGTACAAACTAAATGGAATAAATTTAGTCAACATATAATATACATTTTTTGCTTTATAATATACATAAGTATTCATTTTTTATTTATTATATTAATTTAAATTAGAAAAAGACAAATTACAAATTAAACAAAAAAAGAAAAATTCAGAGTTGCATCTGTTTTCTTTGTGCTCAATCAAATTACATTTCAGTAATTACAATAAGTACAAAACATTTGAAGGAACATAAAGTTAGACGCAATTTTTAATCCAAATTATAAAAAAAAAATAATAAATAAACAAAATTAAAATTATATATTGTATGTATAAATATTTTCTTTTTTATTTAATTTTACAGTTCACATTTTTTAACTTATTATATTATGTAAATTCACCCCAATCTCCCTACTGGATGGCATGGTCCTTGTTGCCCAGGGTTGCCTTACAAACATATCCTTTGAGTGCCAAGACGCCTCTACATTTAATATGGACTTGGTACCGCGCACACCAGTCCAAATTGTCACAGCCCACTCCAGCTTCCGAAAGTGTCTTCACAGCTGCTATAGACAGAAGATCTGAAAAAAAAAATAGATTACATCTTTAAATAGTCCATAAATAAATAAAAATTGCGAAATTCGTTAATATTTCTTTTATGTAACAAAATATTATAGGTAGTCGTCGTGTGCGTACCGCAATCTCACCTATTACAGCCCGCAAGCAGTTTGCTTCGTGACTGTACCTTACCTTAAACTTTGACCAGGTTGAGACAAAAGTTGAGAAAACATCCGACGTTTTCTATGTATATTATGTATGTATTTACAAAAAAACATACCTAAGTATTTATAGTAGTTGTCTAGTATCCATAACATAAGTTCTGCTTACCATGGGACTAGATGGCGCTGTGGTAATTATCCAGAGTTATTTATTTATTTATAAACATAAACAATTAAGCCACTATGATTACAGCGCTACCTGATACAGTGGAATATGGAGCCAACGAGCGTCGACTGTCCCGCCTTACTATTAACACCATTTTTAGATTTACTTTTATTATCTAGGACAAGTTTAAATTACTATCATTACATAGTATAAAACAAAGTCGCTGTCGCTGTCTGTCCGTCCCTATGTATGCTTAAATCCTTAAAACTACGCAACGGATTTTGAAGCGGTTTTTTTAACAGATAGAGTGATTCTAGAGGATGCTTTATATATATAATACAAGTACACCCGTGCGAAGCCAGGGTGAGTAGTTAGTTAAATAATAAGTTTTCTTATTGAAGCAGTTATAAACAAAATAGGAAACCCATAATGTGAAATATTGGCTTAAAAAAGGAATATCAGTCGAGTTTCTTGGCAGTACTTCTCAATCACTTACATCTCAAAATCTTGACGTTCATAAGCGGCTAATATGTCCTATATGAATAAATGATTCTTAATTTGATTTCAATTGATTATCAAAAAAAAATCTTACCTGGCGGGTCACCGTGCGTGAGTAATTGGACGTCGTTGGTGCGACAGAACTCATGTAGTGCCGGCGGCACCACGCAGCACGAGGCCAGGTTGATCTGAGCTATGGATGGCCGCACGTGCGCCCACGCGTGAAGTCGCCGAAGACAACCGCCTCCTACGTCCGCTACGCCCAGCTGATGGACGCGCCCTGAACAACCATCATGTTATTAGTATGTAACAGCTTACAGCAGTGTTTCCCAAAGTGGTACACAAGGGGACAATCTGATTTAGTATAGTGTAACTTTACGACTATTGTATAATAAGACTAACCTTGTTTTATAATAATTCTAATTGGTCTGTAAATATCATGCTATTTGCCTATAGAATCCTACCATTATGATATTCGGTAACTACGCAACCATGATTAGTCTTGGCTGAAAATGCTTTAAGATGGAAGAATACTGCCCAAGCTCGATATAGCAGAAACTATAATAACATAGAACATTCTATATCGCGGTGGAGCATCCTTAGAAGTCAGATAAAGAGAACTGGTAAGTCATGAATCAAAAATAATATATTTTTGCACCAAGAAATGAATTTCTTGTAAAAAGAAGTAACAATTAACATAATACTTATTCCTATACAAGAAAAAAAAAAAGTCTGCGGGAAAGAATGTTAAGAGTGTATCTCATTTTGAATTAAGTTATTTCATCTTGGTCTTAATAAATATATTAAATCAGAATTTAAGACAACAATACAAAATTTTCTTGTCTTCGAAAAATATATTTTCTGTGTATCGAGAAATAATTTATTTAGCAAAACAAGTAATAGTAAATAGATGGTAGAGTAGTATATTCTGAGAGATATGTGGGCAGTTCTTACCTCTTTCGACATAATCCTCCAGGACCGCCCATAGCACTTTGATGCCGGGCAATATTGCCTCGCATTTCCGCGCGTCAGCCTCACTATCGGCCTCCATCTCTGTGCTGGGTATGCGCACTGAAATTGTCAAAATACAAAATTATAGTACCAATATTATTTACACTTGTATGGACAGGTACCTCACCAAACGATTGTTCCTCAAAATTTGTCCAAATTTCTCCTAAAATTCCAGTTATCATTAAATTCACCCCCTATTTGCTTTTTGCTACAATTTGTTGTTACTCCGATGTATTCGCGATACTGTTTTTTAAGCCGCTAGTACCATAGCTCTCACTTGTTTTAGCTCGCTGGGTTCAGTTCCTGATTTTGTTTGTAGGTCTACATTAACGTGCGTACAATTCTCATCAACCACTCATATTTTCCTTTTCACCTGCAAATCCCCTCAATTCAAATCATTTGTCCCACAATTTTCTACCCTCGCTTCAATATCCCCAAATTTGTAAGGAAAATCCCCAAGCTGGCGACACTGCTTCGGTTTGACAATTGTATTTCAGCCGCCAAGAAGCTTGTTTTGTAAACTGTGTCGGTAGAGATATGGCATTGAAATTACAGGGTTCAGCGCTGTATCTTCGACCTCCGGACACATTATTCTAACTTATAAATACAATATAACACTGTAAGACGTCGATTGATTTGACTGCCTATGCCTCCATGCAGAAATTGAACCATGTAAGTATTATTATATTATTATTAAATATTACAACAGTATTATAATAAATGCCTATTTATTTTCATGAGTAAGGGGTAAATTATAGATCACCGGGTTAATCACCGATAATGACATCAATAACTAAATTTGTCTATATCTAATCTTTACGTTATTGGGTAGTTAACATAAATACGTTTTCTTTTTAATCGATTTAAAGGCTTAATGTATACTTAAAGGGTCTTAATTTGTCTATATTTAAATCCTTTAAGTCAAATCAATTTGTTTATAATAAATAAAGATTTTTAAGAATTTGTACAGCGTCGACGTAACACCCTCGCGTAGACGTTGTACAGTCTTAAAAATACGTATTTACCTATACCTTGGCTTTTTTATATTTTCATCCACAAGGTGTACTTATGGAGGCCAGTGCCGAAGTCACGAGACCACGTTAGTGTAACTACCGCGACTCAGGCGACGTTGGTTCACCCTATATAGGGTGTAGGACGGACCTCATTTCGTTTTGTTTCATGGATGGTAAAGGAATGGTGCACCCGTCTGCACTAACAGTTTACGCTAGCGGAGCACCACTGGATGATAATAAGATGAGCATGAGGTCAAGTCTGTTATTAGCCCATCGTGACAAATTGACTAGGAATTTATTTCGTTTAGTTTCCAGGAAATATAACCGCGTGGAGGTCAACCTGATATGGTACATTGCTATCAATTGGGTCATTAGTTCATATTACTAACAATTCCTTCCCCCAATCTCATTGTTAGGGCGACCTATTTCGACCCACTCAATTGTGGAAGCATGTGGGTATTTAAACAGCTAAACAGCTATACAACACTTAAATTATTCAAGGACATATTAAGGTTTCTTAAGGGTCAGTAACGCGCACGTGGCACCCTGGTGTTTCAGGCGTCCAAAGACTACGATAACCGTTTACCATCTATATCCGTACGTTCCACCACCATCGTAGCATAAAAAGTTAGCTTTGAATGCGGTGAAGAAGTGAAATTATAGTATGGCAAAACATTAAGAGTTCCACGGACTTCTGACTTCATACATATAACTCTTATTCGCATTTATAACTAGTCTCATACATGCAAATGAATTTCGGACAGTTGACTCATTGACCAGACAAAATTCTATCATCAAATAATATTAAATTAATTATTTCCTAATTGTTAATATACTGTTATTCGTTTGCTTGTAATTTTGAAAACTTGCGTACAAACACTCTTAATTTTTTTTAAAATACATTAACCTGTAATATGGCATAGAGAATAGAATATAGTATAATATATAGAAATGTTTTAAGTAGTCTGTAAAATTGTAGTTTCGGAACAATATCACATATCTAGAAGATATGTCGATGTAATAGAATTTTAAATTATTTGTAATTGTAAAATGTCTTCAAATAAAATTAAATTAGTTATTTATAAAAAGTGGAATAGAAATTTGATAACAGTTAATATTTTGTACCTACGTCATAAATGCTCCTTAACATTATCTATTTTTATGTTTTTAATGTAATTTATTTATTATAGCTTAAATATATCAGTCACGTATTAGCTGTCGGGGAATTATTTGACTATTTACGGCAATCAATTCTGCGAAAATTATATTTTTACCTATAAGAACGGTTGAGGTAGTGTGCAACAACAATAAATTTAATCGACAGCTTTTATGACTTCCATGACAAATACTACGACTAATATAAAAATAACCATCACAATTCGCCCTTCTTTTAAACGGGTTGAAAATGTTCAAAAGACCGTCACCTCACCGGAGGGATGGCAGGGTTGTGTTTGGGATTATTACCCACTAAAAACCACACGATGTACCTGCAAGCGCTTATGCCGGAGCTGGGGTTTTCGCATATGCAAAAAGTTATGTATGTACCTGCAATGTATATATGCAAAGTCGCGTGCTAAGCTTGTACATACCTACGTTGCTACCAAGCGAGATGGGCGATGCCTTGGTGGCGTGTGAACTCTTCAATTTGTCATCGGATGCTTCACTGAGGTGCAATAAATCGGGGTTGTAAGCCAGGATCACGTTGTCTATGTACTCAGTGGGGAGTGCCGTGAATACTGGAGACATAAAAAAATATATATTACAATTTGGAAACTTACAAATCTATAGTAATGTTATAGACTATAAAAAAAATCTATATACTCGTATACATATAGAATGTGTTGCCCAGAGACAAGACGGTGAAAATTGTTTATAAATATATTTTTTTAATTTTTGTAGTGTCATAGAGTCCCGTCCCGGCTTCGCACTACATACAAATCTTTGAATTTTGCGGTTTGTATATACTATAATAGGCATGTATTTTACATATTAACCTTCCTCCTGAATCACTCTATCTATTACTGAAAACTGCATTAAATTGTGTTGCATAATTTAAAAGATATAAGCGAACATATAGCGGCGGCGATCTTATCTTATACTTGTAAAATTAAGTTGAATGTAGTAATTACATATTAAATCAAATCAAAACTAATTTATGCATGTAGGACATTTTAGCTGTTTATGAACGTCAAGTGTTTTTTAAATATGTTTACTGTACCGTAAAATGTACAGTGGACTGCATTAACTTCGTCTTTTCTATTCATAATGGAGTGGGCATTATTTCGCCGTAGGTAGGGACTATTTACGTAGAGTTATATGATGATTTTAGCCTATTATATTATCTTTCCACTATTTGAGTAGTAATTTACAGTTTAGCATACAAGTATTACTCCACACTTTCGTGACCTCCATGAGCACCTGGGAATTTACGTACATGTCGGTTCATTGCAATTCAGTACACACTACGTTGGACATACGATTCAAAATAAGAAGTATAAAACTACGTAATTAAATCTCGAACACAGTAAGGGGACTCCCCATTTAATATATACAGGTTGACCTTTATTTTCGGCATGTCTTAACCTTGGTATATTTTTGGCAAAGCTACAATGGGTACACAAGATTGGCAATCTTAAACCTATTTGCGTCGTACATAATACTCGCATATCGGCTCAGTTTGGCTCTCCATCTTCCTATAGTTATAATTATATTTTTTATTTCTTTTCGGACTACGCTAATGTTGTTGACCGCAGCTGGCCTTTACAGCTTCACCAGACGATAGGGGGCTAGTGTAGGTGGCACTCCAAACCCGCAAAAGGACTTTTGAAACGGTTGAAGACCAACTCCTGCTTGACTGATACGGCTTTAGTCTGAGGGCATCGCTAGGTATTCGAATCTTGGCTCAGGCCGTGGTAATTTCGATCTCAGTTTAAAGTAGACGGGGAATTCATCGGATAGTTGTAATGACCACACATGTGTGTATACTAAAATCTACTACCTATTTTTAAGACCATTTATGCCAGCGTCAAAGACACGCTCGGATTACAAACTCAAAAATAATACTAAACTCAAAAATAATACTAAACTCAAAAATATACAGAAAATTTAAAATTATTAAAAATAATAGGTACATAATTATAAGTTAGGTACTACAGTATAAAATTACTCTAGCTGATTGATACGATACGAGTCACTCAAAAATTTAATAATGATTTATTTGTTTATGGCAAGTCATAAAATTAATCAAATATTTCAGTTAAGTCGTAAAATATATTTTTTTTATCTATTTTTATTAAAATAAATTTATTACTCCTGTATAACTTTAGGTAGATCTATACCTACAAACATTAACACATAAGCAGAATTAAATACATGTTTTTATATGAAAGTTATATAATAATAATAAACATATTTAAAATAAAAATATGTTTGGTCAATAAATACATAATATATACAGAAAACACCCAGACCAATAAAAAAATCATACTCATGAATACAAATGTTTACATTATACGAGGAATCGTACCCGCATCATCATAAGTAAGGCGGTATGCTTAACCGCTAGACCACCAAGGCCGTCATCTGAGATACAAACATACATTAACAAATATCTAGTTAATTGTGCCATATGCTGCAGATAGATAAGGACAGCAAATAAGTAGGGTCGCCAACGACTAATTAAAAATAAACGGGATTTGTATGTTAGAAAACTCAGGAAAATTCAATTTCAAAACAGGACGCGGTAATAGAGTCGCAATAGTTAAATAAATATGTAGTGAAAAGAGGTAAAGTAAAATTAAAGAAATAAAATATTAAAAAAAAAACTAAATAAATATTTTTTTATGTATAAAATAGCACTTATGAGCTGCAATGCACTAATACGTGCCTCTTATCCTGTAATTTCTTTCCCTACGTCATATCACCCTTCAACCGAATCACATGTCCCGTAACAAACTGCCTGAAAAAGGTAGAGAAAGTGATTAGAAGACACCTTTTTACGAAGTACACCTCGGCGAAAAAAGCCAATAAACTATTAATTATTACCATACAAAAGACCAAAATAACTGTGACGTATTAAAATAGTAATGACATTGCTCCATGTTTTTTTGTCATTCCTTGTATTTTTTATGCCAAGATATTCTCGGCTCTACATTAAGTATAATGTATTGCTGCGGATAATGGCGTAAATTTTTGTTGTTTTTTATAGATATTTTAGGAGAATAATGTCTACACATAATTAATGCTTTCTTAATTAACAATTTTGACTTTTATTATTAGTACAAGATTGCTTTTATTAGTCTGTAAATGTTCCTAAATTAAACATAAATTCTCCCTCTCTGTTATAGATTGGTTATAGTAGAATAAATTTTGAAAATACAGTAGTGGCGGAAATTTCGTTTTTGAATTTGTATTTATTTTTAATAGATTTTTCACTTTATGATATAATTTGTTCAGTATCATAATTATTACCACTAGTTTTTAGCAGCTCAATAAGTCCTTTCTTGGGTTTGGAATACCATCTGCATTTGCCTATTGTTCGATGAAGCGGACAGTTACCTACAGTTAATAGTATTGGATTAGTTCGAAAAAAAAAATAGCTTTCGACTTGGCCTACTCTTACGTCCAACACTGTCCCTATATTTAACTACTGATAGAAGATCTGTCGCTTTTCACAAGTTGTGCAATACTAGTTACCCAAAAAGACTGACTCATCGCCATGAATTTACAATAAATAGACACCAAAAATAGTATAGGTATTTATAAATTGAATAAACATTATCGCGGTTTGTAGCAATAATGGTTGATAAACACGAACATATCACTTTATCAATACCCATATTGGTAATATAATAATATTATGATTAATTATAAATTGAATTACCTCGTTGACAGTGCTATAAATTTCACACGCGTGAAGTGAAACGAGACCCACAACATATGATAACATAACTGTATTAAGAATGGCATAACTACCAATTGTTTAAATAATAATAATAAATAAATAATTATGGACAATTAACACAGCGCCATCTAGTCCCACGGTAAGCAGAGCTTGTATTATGGGTACCGGATAACTGATATAATACTTGATTTTTTTTTGTAAATACATACATAATATACATAGAAAACCCACAGAACAATGAAACTTCTTTCTTTGGCTTTTTATAGTTAGCCTATATAATTAAAAATGCTATCCAAGAAGTAAGTAAGCTATATTTTATCTATTATAAAAAAGGCAGGCGACGTCGCGCGTTTCACTTTACTTATATATAAAAAATATAAATACCAGTGGTTCGAGATTTCCTTTATGTAATCAGCATCATTATGATTTATGACAACATACATTTTACGCACTTCAAGTATAATATCAGATTTGTTATGCGGAACATTTTATTTCAGTCTCTTATCAACTTATCAAAATAAAAGTCAATTCTTTTTTTATCACATACAAGCGACGCGGCCTGACTTCCTACGGGTGTAATTAATTATTGTGTTATAAATAACTCGAGTTATCTTAGATAATTTAGAAATGCATAAGATTAAAAAACAATGACCTCTTAACGTTCGGTGCGTAAGTCAAGAAGTTTTAGTCAGTTTCATCAAAATTAGATGTATGGTTTAGAAATAGAAATAATCTTTATTCAAATAAACTCATTACAAGCACTTTTGAATAGTCATATTTTGATTCTACCTCTCAATCGAAATGCAGATTCATCACAAGAAGAATGAACAAGAAACTTGTGCTCTTTTTAATAGATGTTTTTTTATATAAATAATTACAGTATAACAAGTAAGAGGCATGCGATAATCAACATAGAAATCGCTACGCACTCATTATAAATGTAATCAGATAATATTGTGAGTGCTATGGATTTAAAGTTTTTCTATACAAATATTATTATCGTTAACGAATTCTTCAATTTTATAATAAGCTTTTTTGCAAAGGAAGTTTAATAATGAATAGAGCTATAAATATAGTAAAATTAGAGTGTCTGTTTGTAATATTGAAATAACCGTTTTTTACTGCAAGCATATGAATATAAATATAGTACATACATCAAAATAACATTTTTTACAATTTTTGTCTGTCTGTCTGTTTGTATTAATCTCTGAAATGGACCATTAAATGAAAATTTTTTGATGTAATAAAGAGTAACTAAGGATACTTTTATTTTAGAAAAATCTTCTATTTTATTCCACGCGGACTAGTAATGTCTTATACATTACATTATTTTCAGTTACCAACTTGTCACATTTCTTATCTATACCAACATTATCAAGAGAGCGCACTCTCTCTCTTAATAATTTGTTATAACGAAAGTAAATTCCTGAACCACAACACAGATATGAGAAATTCTTTCACTATTTGAAAGGTATAAAACTCTAGAAATATAAGTAGTTTTTGTTCAAATAAGCTTAATATATGGACTTTTGAATATCTTTTTATTCTACCTTTCATTTGGGTAGCATATTCAGCGCAAGAAGAACGAGCAAGCAAATTGCTAAATGTAAATAAATGTTGATCAACTACAAAATAACAAAATTTCACAACAAATATGCAGATAAATTTGTAGCATCCTATATATATACCGTGTGGTTAGTTTTCCTTATATAAGAAAATATTAGATAAGAAAGTCTTTTGTATAATTTAACTTACTCATTTATTCAACTTTGTTACAAAATTAACAAAAATTACAAATTTATCCTTTAATAAAGTGAAAAATACTTTTTAACA